GTGTTACATTAAACAAGTATACTTGATTCAAATTTTGTTTAATATGTGAGCCAAAGCTAGATCTGAGGTAGTTTAGATCTGAGGCAGTAACATATAGCCAATGCCACTAGTCCAATGAGTGGATATGTTGTCTCTCTAATTTATACTGGCCCGCGCGCGCGTAGGTACCCCATGGCCTGATGGCAAGTGGTACATTGCATGGCACATTGCAGCTCAATGGGTTAACTAGAGACATTGTTTTATTTTGGTTAATAACCACAATTGCAAGAGGTCAGTACAGTCTGTAACAATAAGTAATTCAGGAATTCACACAGTTCTCAGTAGTTAAATGATTATCGGATTTCATATTAAATGATTATCGGATAATGTTGAGCATCAAGAATATATGTATAATATCCTTCATACATTTATAATAATATTCAGGCTAAATATCATAGTTATTATTTTATATACTATAGTTTTATCAGGTATAAAGATACGAGGTGAAGCGAAGTACCTTTAGGTCTGATATAGCATACACTGCGAATGTTTTAAATTGCTCAACTGATGGTCACCAACAACAAATAGTACTTTATTACAAGGCGGCAAAATGTATTTATATTACATGAATAATCTTGTCACTTGATACATTTGACATCAGGTGTCTTGTATTTGTCCAGAAGAGACCCCTTGTTATTGTATCATGTTTTGAGAATGAGTTCAATTTTGATATTTGTTGTTGATCTGAGCAAAATATTGATTATTGATTTGCCTACTGAGGTGCACATTATTGAACAGTCAGTTGTGGTGAGTGATGCTGAACTGCCTGTTGTATGTTGTGAGTGATTTTGAGCGCCTGTTGTGATAAGTGACACTGAATTGCCCCAATTGTACCTGCTGACTTGTCAAATAATCTCCTTAAATAATGTTCTGGGAAGTAATTTGTGTAATTGATTACAAACAAAAACAAGAGCTTGTTAACAGTATAATGAGGAAATTAATTCCATCTCATTATATTATTCAGCCTTGATAAAGCATATGGAGGCTTTCTGTCTGATTTGACCCTCATGCATGTAATTGTTTGGGAATGCCTGATCATTAAGATCACAACATTTGTTTTGAAGCTTTTTTTTCAGACATTCTTTGGGCCTTGTACTCCCTTTAACTGTTAAATATACTGTATGATATTGACATTTGCAAGAAAGATCTATTGTAGCAACAATAACTATTAAATGTTTTGATGATCATGGATATGGTGTATTGATCGAGTCCATATTATTAAATTAAAGTGATTTTACATATCTGTTTCACAATCGAGGCAGCAATTTCCTTGCGACAGTATTAAATTCATAGTAAATACTTCTATCGATCGATCCATTCGTTTTGCACTGTTGCTTTGTCTATTTAATAGATCTCCTTTACAGTTCAACCAAGGTTCTCAGAGCTAATTTGAAGACAATTTCAAATTTATTCAATATTTTTGGAAGAACTTTAACAGATTTTTTCATTTTAAAATAGATTTTTGTTCTTTATTTGTCGATTTCGGTGTTTATGCATTATATCATAGACAATCTTCTGGATTGTCTATGATTATATTGACGAATATATTGTAGCTAAAGCGATCCGCGATCGCACCCCCTGTATAGTATTTGCTCCGATATATCACGTGACAAAATAATCCACAATTTGTGGATTATTTCACCAGCCTTTACCAGGGCCTTTGCTGCCCTTCGCATCTTTCTTTAAAAGGCCCTGGGGACGAGGTTGATCAGGCCCTCGGTATTGAAAGAGGGCCTGACACGAATCGCCTTAAAAGCCATGTTCAACATCCAGAATCTGGATGTTATGCTGATTGGCTAAGAGACGATAAAACGCATCATGTGATTCAAACCGGAAATATATGACCGGCGTATGTAAACACCAAAAATAGAATTTGTAATTTTGTCAATATACTGTTAAAAGTGCTTTATTTCTGAAATTTATTTTCAATTAATTATGCCTAAAAATGACAAAATAAGTACGAAAAGACGTTGAAAACGCTTTTGCAGCAACATTTTACTCGGTATAAAACTAAAACTACATAGTCATAGTAGAAAGCGTGTCTAAATATCTCGCCGTAATAGTCGCCGTAGAACGAAAATATGTGGTGTCGGAAATTTTCAAATATTTAGTTTCAAAAAGCTGAAGCCTTATTTATCAGTTTATTGCCGAGCTGTTTTCCAAGACCTGCAAGGATATAGTAGTCAGCTCGCTCGAACTAATATGCCAACATCAGGCAGAAATTGAAGACAATAGCCGCTGTGTCAGACGCAGTTGAAGCGAATAGCTGTCTCGAACAAACTATTAACATGACACGAGGACCGAGGAAGAAGAAATCCTATTCAGAGCGCCGAATGTTGTCTCTTTCACTCCTGGAAAAAGCCATCGAGCTATGGTTCCCCGAATAAGGCATAGTTTACGCTTAGAATTCCATCATGTGGATATTTCGACAAAAACATACCGATTTTTCTCCGTATTTATTCAAATTTATATAAAACTGCAAATAACGAAATTTGCGTATTTACATACCTGTAGCGGACAACCGGAAATATGCTACAACCGGAAATAATTTTAATTGGCTGATATTCTGGGGGTGGAAAGCCCGTAGAGGCGAATTGTGTCAGGCTCTCTTCAATACCGAGAGCCTGATACTCAGGTTAGTAGAAACTTTCATGTTTTATGACGTCACGATGAAAGAATGTAGCGTGGAACTTGTAAGTTATTTTACTTATTAGTAACTCTCCGTAGTAACTTTGCATTTCTTCTCCCAGTGCCTTCCCACGAATAAAGGTTCTCCCTAGTGTGAGGCGGTTTCTACAAAAAAACCGAAAACCGACCAAAAACCCCCGAAAAAACCGAGTGAACAGGTTTTTTTAAAAATATGTTCGAAAATCGGTTTAAAAAAGACAACAACACACGCTATTGAATATTTTAGACCTGTCTTCGCAGACGTCCGCCTTTATTACTAGCGAATCAAAATTCACCACCGCTTGATCCGCTTATCCGTTCAAGACTTCAAGCTCGCGCGAAATTGTAGAATGATATTTATAACGTAAGGTGTTTCGAAGATGTTATCAAATTTCAAACAAAATCTCTTTAGTTTTCGTGTGTAAATGCCAAAACTTGATTCATTTGCAAGAAACTCGTATAAGTATGTTTCGATTTCGGTTTTCCCCCGGTTTTTTCGGTTTTCCGGTTTTTCTCCAAAACTATAAACATCGTCATCGAGTATAAATTCGATTTTAAAAAAACATCGGTTTTTTCTCACCCTAGTTCTCCCTTTGTTCAAAAGCTTGTTTTGTGTTTGGCGAGCCATTGTCACTTTGTCAAACTAAATAAAGTTACTAAGTCTAAGTAAGTAAAATAACATACAAGTTCTACGCTGCATTCCTTCACCGTGACGTCATAAAACATGAACGTTTCTACTGGCTTCTGACTGTCTTTTCAACTTCCGGAAAAGACACTCTACTGATTTCGGTAATACTGCGAACCCAAGGACAATACGTTAACATCAAATAGCAAAAAAACTAACAACTAACTTCATGCATTTATACAACTACTGATATTTAGCTAGCTACGGCAACTGATCATGCTATGATAATAACAGCTGAAAAGAAATTGAACAAATCAATGCATGCTACCGACTATATAAGCACAGCACAAGCAGTTGCCATGTAGCTAGCTGTGCTGAAATTTTCAATAACAGCAAGATATTGGAGACGCTAAACTACGAACACAGTTGCATTTCAAGCATAAAGATCTAAATGTTCGCGGATTTTCAGGATTATAAGTAATGTCAACAGAGGTAAAATAATAATAATAATAATAATATTTATTCATCAAAATACCAATACAGGCACATATGAAATTACATACAATAAAAGATACAAAGCGTATCTATATGTGATAGTTGTTATAAGATATAAGATTATAAAAAGTGCATTAACATTTTTTATATCATGAATGAAGATATGCATGATTACATAATGCACTGATTATCATATAATAGAAGAATATCATGAAAATATTTTGCTACTATTTTCATGATAGATTTATCATGAATTATCTAGAGTTCTAATAGCAAGTAATTGTATTCCTTCCACTCGTGAGCTCATTACAAAAGTAATGTCCAGGCCTTGTGACCCTGGATGGGCACTTAAAAGGAAAGAATACACAAACACACAATTAGTTCTAATGCGCATGTCGTTACTTGATGACGCAATTATTATGCAATAGAAACATGACAAAGATACTCAGATCTTTCAGTCTTAACAATTTACATTACCATAATAATAAAATTGCAATAAGTGATTTCACGGGAAAGCTTCCAGCTTCCACTCGAGTTTGCGGGCAGCATACAAAGTGAAATCACTTATTGCGAACTCCGTCATCTCCGGTTCTTTGTTATCTAGCAGTTGGCAATTTTATTATAATGGTAATGTATATTGTTAAGACTGAAAGATCTGAGTATCTTTGTCATGTTTCTATTGCATAATAATTGCGTCATCAAGTAACGACATGCGTATTAGAACTAATTGTGTGTGTGTGTGTGTATTCTTTCCTTTTAAGTGCCCATCCAGGGTCAAAAGGCCTGGACATTACTTTTGTAATGAGCTCACGAGTGGAAGGAATACAATTACTTGCTATTAGAACTCTAGATAATTTGTGTTTTCAATTCGTGATATGCCGGACGACATAACCTTGGGTAAGTTACTTAATTAAAATGTTTAAATGGCAGTCGATCCAAATCTTGTTCGTAAAAGATTTATCATGTATATTAAAAATATATAAGAATAAATTATTTGTACCAAATAGGCGGAAAGAACTATTGATACCATATAACTCGTTTAAAAAAATATTTCGAGTTTCTGAAATTTTTTGGTTGGAGCATGATAATAAGTAGTGAAATTCATTTCCAATTTCACTCGATTGACATAAGGTACAAAACTGATCTTCGTATGGTGTTTTGGTATATCTTCCAGATTCAACCGGTAGTTTGTGCGCAGATATTCTCATTTTTGTTATTTTGATATTCTCATTTTTGTTATTGTCAACAGAGGTAAAATAATAATTGAGTAAACGTGATTTAAATACAGCGAGACTGTCCGTATGAAGGTCTATTGCGTCTATTAGTGTGTTCCATATTCTGGAAGTTCTAACGAGGAAGCATTTCTGGTAGCTGGTTGTTTTACATCTGGGGATGACATACTTGATTGTGTTGCTTGAATTTGAGCGAGTGGTTCTGTGAGAATTCTGAATAACTGGAGAGGCGCTTGTTTTCACTAAACCATGTGCAATCTCAAAGAATAGAATCAAATCAAGGTATTCGTGCCAGTAGCATATTGGGAGGAGATGCAACGACTGCAGTCTTGATATGTAGTCTATATCCGAGGAGAACGGTACATTTAGAATATATTTGGTGGCACGTCGTTGGGTTCGTTCAAGATGGTTGATAAGTTCTATTGATTGTGGTTCTATGGATAGATACACAGTGAGACATCTGGTATGATCTGTATAATCTATGTTAAATTTAAAGGCAAAGAATGTCGACATGACAAAATTTGTTATACTGCATTCATTATCAAACTGATCAATCCAAAGTGTTGTATTTCAACAGAACAGACTATTAAATGGACCTTTCCCCTTATAACTAAAATTTCGATCTAGACAAAAATTTCATCACAGCTTGAAAGAGCATCACAAAATTAGTAATATTAATCCAAAGTTTTGTTGCAAAATCTTGTAAAATGCGGATAATTGCTGCCGAGCCTCTGCTCGGCAGCACACTATTCTTAACGTTACATGACGTTCTTGCTTTTTCGTGTCCAGTCCCCGCGGCCGAGTTATGTATAGTCGAATAGCGATTTTCACTCGGTGGAGATTTCGGCATTCCAGGGGGCTCATTAAGTATTCAAGTTGGTTTGTAAAATGAGGGGGTTGTTTAACAAAATTTTCTTCAATGATGCGAGCAGGTTACTCAAATATGTGTCTTTTAAGGTTTCACCCGAAATTTTCAGTACATAAAGTAGTAATATCTGTATGTTTAGTTCATATACTTAGTGTTTATTTATCGATGTGATGAACCGGTTTAATAAAGTTGCGAATATCGAGGGTAACAGCCAACCTCGTTCCCAGGCTCTTTGCTCTTGGGAAGCACACTTTTGCACTTGCTTCCCAAGAGCAAAGAGCCTGGGAACGAGGTTGGGTAACAGCCTGGGTTCATGCTACCAGCTACCTACTTATGGCTACCTACTACAAATCGCTGGCTACTATATATGAAAGAGTTTAAGAATTTATAAACTATTGTTTGTTCAAAGTCGAGTAATGTATTGTCATTATAATTTTATTTTGACAATTAGTCATATGTCCACAATGGCACAATATGTCTTACAGTATTAAAATTCGCGCAGTACTGGAATTCGCGCAGCGCTGGGTGAGCAAATTTTAGCACTGCGCGAAATATAATCATAGATATCTTATATATAATCCGCGCGAAAAACGTTGTGGTAGTGAAGATAAAGCGTGCGTTTAAAATAACAAGAACTAAAACACTTATTGCATGGTTCTCATTTGCCTAATATTAATACAATAATAGTACGACGCGAATTTTAACAAGTAAGGTATGGTATCATATTTCATATATAAACGAACAATGTAAACTAGCCATACATTTCGCCGAACATAACTTCGGCCCCTTTGGACATATCTTTTTCGTTATAGTCTCATTCGAACCAGAATCCAAAACACTATTCACAGTGTTATTTTCAAGCTTGTGTCTTCAGATTTTCATCTTTTATTTCGGTATTTACAGAATATTTATATTTTTAGCGCGGCCCGTGCGACGTTCCTACATCAAAACAGCTGTTTACATCCTAGGGGTTTGGAAAAACCGGAAATCGATTCTACAGGTCAAAGTACTCCCAGTGGCATGGTTTGCACGTGCATCGGGCTATATACGCATACACACGTAAAAATCTCACAGACTCACAACTTGTTAACAAGATGTGTTCGCAACAGGCTTGTAGCAAGCTTGCATGTCAACAGTTGTTGTTGAATTACAGGACGATAACAAGTTGTTGGATCAACTTGTAACAAGTCTGTTGAGTTCAACAACCTTGTAGCAAGTTGCCAACAAGCCGTTGACAACTTGTCAACAAGCTGGGAACAAGCAGTGCGAACACATCCTGTTGACAAGTTGTTGGAACAGCATTGCTACAAGTCTGCTGCAGGTTTGTTACAACTTGTGCGTTTTTACGTGTGTACACGCAAGCATACACGTGGCGCGCGCGTGCGAGTAAAAACCCTATATTTTGAAAAATTCAAAATAAATATTTCTACTCGCCTTATTCAAACGAAACTTCTTACACGAAAGCGCTTTAATACAAGGAGTATTAATTAAATAGCTCGTCATATTTTTTTGGAAACCCTGTAGATCGGTAGGGTAGGAGGTTGGCAGGTAGTAAAGTACAACAATTTCAGCCTCAGGGCGTGTATCATCAGGTGGTATATACAATCACGGCTTTAGCCTGATAATTTTTGGCCTCCATGCACTGGGTAATGGGGTAACAGCAATATTTATAACAGTATTTTTCTGATATACAGTACACACTTTATAATATGAACATAGTCATAGATAATTCCATAAACCACGGAATAAATAACGGCATAAACCATGGCATAAACACTGATATCACACTCAGTCTGATATGCATATGCAGTCATATATAGTCATATGTCTCATATGTACCCACCACAGATATATTGTTAACACTTTATATAGTCTTAGAGTTTGATTCAGTATTATATTTCACAAAGTACTTCATTACAGTAAAGTAAGTAAAGCTAATGTCACAATTAAAGCTATTTATCAAATTTATCATGAGGACTGCATTCTCTAAATGTCCTAAATGTCAAACATATTCAGTATTCGTATTTGTAACATACACGCACAGACGAGTCTTTCACTTATCTTTGAGTAGGCTATTGTCGGATTATTTTACCGTAGGTCTGACAACAGGGAGGTATACTTCGACATATTTCTGGAGCATCAAGATCTGAGGATGGTTCTGCAGTTTCAGCAGTCCGAGTAGCATTGTTTACAAAGCAACATAGTTTGCGATATTTCAGAAATCAAAAGATCTCTATATATTTCGTTACACATCTCAGTATTAAATAAATCCTTTAGGATAGACATCAACAGCTAAATAACAGCCACGTCGGTCGGTACTGGTGTAGAAATATATTTTCTTGTAACGTTTGCGACGTGTTGATTTCTTCGACGAGCTGTATCGGCATAATTTGTCTATTGAAATCTGATCTATTTTTGCTCACCGACATTCTGCCACAATGAAATTTGATATTTACTGTTGTGTAACATTGATAGTCTTCATGACAAATAAAATATACAATTTTGTAAATATTTCCTGCATGATTTCTGGGTTATTTCTTCGCTCACTCCTTGCTCAATGACAAAACGTACTTAGGTACCCACCCTGATTGAAATTGTTTGTTATCTCCCAGATTCTGGGAGACACGTGACCAGCCGATAGCAGGGTCTTTCCCAACCGGTGGAAAGTCCCTGCGACGGAGGTTGCATAAACGACTGCACAAACGCCGTTTGAGCTCGCGTCTCCGAATCCATGCAAGGTGATCTCTTGAATTGGTTGATGGTATGAGGCTAAGGACCGAGGGATTGTATAGGACTCGAGCGCTTCGTTCCATTCCTTCCATTTCTTTTGTAGTGGCCCTGGTAGGTCTGCGTCCCATGGAATTTTACTGTCACACGCACTCCGATAAACAAGTTTTCCGGTCAGTGTGGTTGGTGAAGCCAAGCCCAGGGGGTCGTAGATTCGTGCCAATTTTGACAAGATGCTTCTCTTAGTTACAGGTTCAGCGTCTGTGGTGAGGGTCACGCTAATAGTATCGTGCTTCCTATCCCAGGGCACACCAAGTAGTTTCCCATCGGGCTGTTCGATCCCTGCCAGTTGACTTTTGGCATATGTTAGTTCACTTATCTCTGATGACGATTGATTCTTTGGCTCGAGTTCAGGTACGTTTGAGTGCCACTTGTGTATTGTGAAAGTGGCATCGTTGAAAACTTCGATAGTTTTCTCCTTCTGGGTCTGGATTTCTGCGACTGTGGTACCCCCCGTAATCAAATCATCAACATACAGTCCTTCGCGTAATTGCTTCACTATCTCGGGATAGCGCTCTTCCCAAGCATCCAGATGGTGTTTAAGGACTCCCCCGAGAAGGAATGGGGAGCAAGTCAGCCCAAACAGGGCTCGAGTAAACCGGTAGATTTGTATTGCATCGTTCCCAGTCTCTTTCCAGTGAAATCGCAATGAATCTCGATCTTCGGCCTTTATTCTGATTTGCAAAAAGGCCTGTTTCAAATCGCCTGTTAACAGAATGGGGTGAAATCTAGATCTAACAAGGACGTCCCATAACAGGTTCTGGAGAGGGGGGCCTGGGTGGAGGCAATCATTGAGGGATGGTTGGGATCCGCTCTCTTTCGCAGACGCATCATACACCACTCTCAACTTAGTGGTCTCAGCTTGCTTCCTTTCTATGCCTTTGTGGGGAATATAAAATTCTTTTGCTGTTTTAGTGGTAGGTGCCAGCTCAATTACTCCCTGATTTAACTGTTGTTGTATAATGTCATTATACTGTTTGTACTGTCCGTTCCGTTCAAGTTTCTTAAGCAACTGCTCTAGGCGACGCTTGCTACTGTTCTCATAAGTTGGCAGTGGGGGGTGATTCCCTTTCCATGTTAATGATGTCTCATACCAGCCCGCTTGATCTCTACTAAGCTGCTCTTCAAATTCCTCATACACAGTTTTCTGATCATTTTCATTTCTGTCCGGAAGTCCGAGGACATCTAATGCACATAACTGCTCATAATCTATAGTAGTGGATTGAGTTAACAGGATGGGACCCTCCTCCTTCCCTGGAGACATCACCGTCCAACCAAGGAGGGTTTTCTCTGCCACCGGCTGCCCCGGCTTCCCCACCTTTTGAGCCGTAGTGGTTTTAATTTTGGCATAATCACTAGCCCCAAGCACAAGGTGTACAGGTATTTGTGTACGGGTGTCAGGATCTTCGAATTTTGCACCGTTCAAATGTTTGTATCTCTCTAACAGGCGGGCATAATTTGGGTTGTTGAGTTTCATTAGCTCAGGTTTATCAACTTTTGACATTTCAATTTCAAGCTCAAATTTCTGATCTAGGGATTTTATGCTGGCTGCATAAATTTCTACTCTGGTGGTGGTGGATCCTAACATCATTTCAATTCGTTTTGTTTTGACAGCTTTAGGTTTTCTCTTCAATGCATTGGTTAGACTACTGGAAGCATAGGAGCTTCCTGCTCCAGTATCGAGCAGTGCGTGTGTCTTAATCCCGTCTACTTCAACCTTCACCACTGGATAAATAACTTCACTATCCCCCCCGGTATGAGCTGTTTTTGCTATCTCATGCTCGTCTGCTTTGGGTGCATCACAAATTGACGTATGATGACGTTTATTGCAAAATCGACACTTCGAGACACTCTTACACTCAGCTGCCCTATGAGAGGGCCCTGTGCAGTTAAAGCACAGATGTTTTGTAGCTAGAAACTTTTTCCTGTCCTCGAATGTCAAAATTGTGTCACACTCAGCAGATCTATGACTCTCAGAACTACAATATACACACTTTCGAGAACTTTTACTTATCTGATACAACTTCTGTTGCGTTGAGAACTGATAACCGCCTTGTCGCCGATCTTGTTTCTTCCTCCCATCATCTGGTTTCTGTGCTTCGACTGGATTCCTTCGAGTCCAATGTTGTAATGCTTCGGTTAGTTGAATATAGTCCCATTTCTCCCAGTCTGAGTCGTTCCGTACTAAATCACCCCGTATGTTTGGCAATTTGTCCAATGTCATGGCAACAGTTCCATTCACAGCTTCCAAGTTTTTCAATGTCTCAAGCGACTGTACACAATATGATAACTTCTCATAAAATTCATGTATCCTTTTAGGATTTGATGACGGGGTATAAGGAAGATCGAGTATTTCCTTCACATATGCTTTGACGACCTCACTATCTTTGCCAAATCTGTCTTTCAAAATGGCTAAGGCCCTATTATACCCTTCGGCAGTAAATGGCAAAGCTTCAATTGCTTTCTTCGCTTTCTCGCATAATAATTCTCTAAGATAAGAAAATTTAGTAACAGGAAGCGTACTTGATTTATCGATTGTTTCAGAATATTGTCCCCAAAATCGAGGCCAATCAGCATATGTTCCATCAAATTTTGTGATTGTAAGCTTGGGTAACCTGGCTTGGATGTTTCCACTTGCGCTTGAAGATATCTCACTCGATGGTGCTTCCACTTTCTTGTGTTCTGCTTTCAATTTAATTTTTGCTTCTTCAAGTTTAAGCTCGAAATTCATACGCTCTTGTCGTTGTTGATCTTCACGTTTGACTTGTGTATCGTTTAACCACTGTTCGAGAAGCCCTATTGTTTGGTCTGCTTCTTCCATATGCTTTTCTATTTCGTTGCTCCATTGATCGATCTCGCTCACTTCTTCCTTCGATGTAATTTTCTCGGCTTCGACAGTTCTATGCCATTTGCTCACTTCTGTTAGCGATTCTTTTAAAGTTTCGATATGTCTTCGAATAACATGTTCCTTACCTCCTTTTAAAACGTTATCCGACTTATCTCTTGCTCTCCCAAGTTGAATTAGTTTTGTTTTTAGTGTAATCTCCGCGGTTTCTCCCGTATTTTCGCCTGTCGCCATGTCGCTTTTATACAAACACTTTGTTTACGACTTTTACACACGCTAAAACATCACAAAATCACAAATATCCCGTTCGTTGAGGTGCCACGTGTCCTGAATTCTCGCCTCCCTGAGAAGTATCCAGGGCAAATCACGATAACAAAATAATAATAACTTTATAATAACTTTATAATAATAATAAAATACAAATCTCTCTCACTGATTTCTCACTGTTTCTCTCTCGCTGGTTAGTCTCGCATGCTTGTTAATCACGTGACCCATCACAAAATATGTCAATGTTCGTCTTGGCTTCGTAAAGCTCCGTAATGAGCCCAGTTCGCTACAGAGGTTCAAGAGCATAGACGTTGACGGGGATACCGTCCGGCAGTGCTATTTCAATAAATTCACCAGGCCAAATAGTGGTAGAGGTTGAAGGAGCTCTGAGAACAACAGCACATCGTACAGCTGGTGACTTGGTTTCATTTGATCCATATATGTAGGAAGTGTCACAAATGAGAACTGTGTGTCAAGCAGGTCTGACGGATATGTCATTAGCTTCCATGAATGGAGTACCAGCAAGGATCTCAACATCCAGATTTTCCACAACCAATCCCTCAAAGCACAGCTCATACTTTTCTCTTGTGAATGTTATGCGAGTTTCACCAATGACTTCCAAGAGTGAATGGCCGTCAGCCTGTCGTGCGGATTGGGAGCTAGCGTTAATATTGGCTCCAAGTCGCTTCACGGTTGATGCACGAATCATGTTGCAAGTTGCTCCACTATCAATAGTGACACGAACGGTGTGATGGCTAACAAATACATCGATGTACGGTGATTGACGCACTTGGACTAGGCAACTGGCAGGAACTGGAAATTCTGTTACATCATTACTGTGAGGGTAATCTTCCGCAGCATCATCATCGAAACTTTCATCATCTTCCAGGATAGAGGCTATTTGCCTTGCCTTAGCCATGTACTTCTGGTCCCTTTCAGGGAGAAATCTGCATTCGCTAAGAAAGTGGGTTGTCAGGGCGACTTGCTTGTTTACATAAGGGAAATGACTTCTCACACAGACGTGTAGACCCAGGTTGCCTTGTTGCTGGTACAGGTAGATTTGATGCAATTTCATCAAGCAACGAGCTCATAGCTTGCCAAATTTCAGGCTTTATGGAAGCAAGAGTTCGGGAGCGGAGTTCTGTTCCATAACGCTGTTTGATAATATTTGGGAGGCCTGGGTTAATAAGGTGAAGCCATGTAAGAACAACAAAATTTTCCAAAGTGGGAGAAAGTTCCTCATCTTCTGTAATTTGCTGATTGTGATGTGTGATGTTACCACTAGAACTCAGGAGACTATCGTCGACAAATGCCATAAGACGTTGATACAGGTCCTCAGGGTGCTCGTCGGGTTGTAGCTCGATGTTGTTAAAATCCACAAAATGGGCACCAGTAGCTTGAAAACCAAAATGCAGGCGAATAGCATTCCATTGAACTCAATTGATATGCTATTTTTCACAATAGTGTTATGAGAGATTATTGGACAATAGTTCGCGATTTGGCCCAACATTAGCTCTAGCATGTTAACTTTTTGTTGTGCTGCACAGGTGCCAAGCAGAATTATGTGAGCAAGAATAATTGGCTGATCCATCAAATTTTTGCGTCTTTACCAACAGTTCGTTCTCATCCAGATTTGTTAACGAGTCCTATGTTGCAAGTCCAAGTCAAGTCACAAGTTTAAATCTTTAATTGCCTCCAAAATGAAGAGTAAATTATTTACAAAAGAATTTAAACTAGGTATTATAAAATTTACAAATTGATAAGATTAATGGTTAAATTATAATAGGCTAATAACTATCTAATCACAAACGGATCAAAGACCGAGTTTTGGACGCAGTACGAAATGTACATCGTGCATTTTAACTTAAAGTCATCACTAAAACTGTCATTACTTCTACTTAAAACTGAGTAGTCCCCCAATAAGGTTCTGATAAAACTCTGATCATCCAAGGAATGTAAATTCATACATGTTCTAACTGGAAGATGATCTTGTATCCAAGACCACCAGCTTTCTCTAACTTCTGTCTTTCTGCAATACAATAAAGCATGATGAACAGCATTATTATAAAGTCCCTGACATGCTGAACAAATTCCGTTTAACGTTCCAGGATTCCCAAATCTGTCCTTATTTACAGTCAAGGAGCCACACAGAAGTCGAAGAATATCTGTTATCTGCTTTGATTGTCCGTACTTCCACAGATCATACCAGATGCTCAAATATATACAAGGTTGACTCCAGAGATAGAATTCAAGTTCTTTTTTCCTTTCAATTTTATCCACCCATTCATAATGATCACTTTCATACACTGCTTTTTTGACAATTTTCTTCCAAATAATTTTTGCTGGGAATTCGTCATTTCTTAGAAATTCAGTAACATAACCGAGTAAATTTACATCAACCAACAACTTCATAATATCAGGGATAAACCCTGACATTGTTGAATTGCTCTGCCTCCATTTCCATTTAATAAGTTTCCGGATAAACAACTTTCTATATGCCAATGAAGAGCTAGAGTTAATAATTCTGCCAAATAAATACAGTTTTCGTTTGCCAATTTCAGCCTTTATGCTATGTAAACCCAGTAGACCCCTGGCAGCCGATCCTGAGGAACCTGGTATCAGACACTGAGTAACTCTACAAAACACGTTCAGGACCCTTTCCAGTTCTTTGATGTGTTGGTTTTTCAGGTACCACAGCTCGCAACCGTATAGTATATGTGGAAGAGCCACAGTTTCCCACAAATGGGCGGCTATTTTTGGATTCAATCCACCAGCTTTGCATCCGAGCTTTGATAACTTAGATATTACATCAAAACCTTTGTTCACTGTTGCACGGACAACTTCGGTAAAATCCGGATCAGCATGCCATAATTTGCCAAGGTTTTTCCAAGTGTCGGATTCCCTTAAAGGAGAATCACCCAATAACCATGTTCTCTCTGAACCAATGCTGGATATGATTTTTTCCCCGAATACCATTATTACCGTCTTGTTAATATTTAATTCAATCCGCCACTTAATCGCATAGTTGTGAAGACAACACAGAAGCCGATCTAAGCCTTTTTTTCACCCTTGACAACAGGGTCAGATCATCAGCGAACATTGGTGATCCAAAATGTTTATTATATAAAAATAAACTCCAACCGGTGTTTTCTAATTCATAAATTAAGTCGTTGATATATACCAAGAAAAGCCAGGGGGAAGAATACCACCCTGACGTGTTCCTTGCCTCAGATTATAAATCCTTGAATAAGCACCATTTATGTGGACGAGCTCGCTCATATTCGAATACCAACTTCTGATGATCCTCCAACATTTACCTTTTATTCCAGCTTTATGAAACAGTTTATACAGCATCGCATCAATCCACATTTTGTCGAACGCTTTTCGAATATCCACGAAACACGCATACACGCAATCTCCCTCATCACAACAGCTTTTAATAGATTCATTGATCATAAAAGCTGTAGTTAATGCGTCTTGTTCTTTTTGGTAAGCTCCCCGGAGACTATGGATTTGTCTTGGAGGAAGCGATTGTATTTATGATAAGACTTATGCCTCTAATGATCATCAAAACCACTGTTCTTGCCATTGTTACTCTTTGGTATTGGTATTTTTATTGCAATTTTGAAACTGGCTGGGATCTTTTCTTCCGTAATTATCATATTAAATAATGACAACATATTACTTAGGAGAGTAGCACCACCAATCTTAATGTGTTCATAACAAACTCCATCTAATCCAGGAGTTTTTCCATTTGGTAGATTTTTAACTACTTCCTTAAGCTCTTCCATTGGGATTGGTCTATCTATATATACTTCATGTTCGTTGTCACACCCAGCAATGGATATTACTTCTCTCTTAACATAATTTTCGTCATCAAGTTCAAGAGTGTGAAGGTTTTCAAAATAGTTGGCCCATTTTTCAGCAATGTCCTTTGGATTATCATAAATTTCATTGTTAACTTCGAGAATTGGAACGCTTTTCGTGCATTGTTTATGTCTATTGATTAACCTCCAAAACCGCTCATAATCTAGCTCGTGATCTTTCACTATTTCCTCGTATTCTTTTGATTCGTACTCTTTTATACAATATCTCTGTTCTTTTCTAAACAAACGTTTAGCCTCTTTGTAATCATGGAAGGATATGTTGTCTCGACCTCTCGGCTTCCCTTTTCGGATCATAAATTATACTTCTTAACGACCGTTTTTTTTAGTCCATTAAATTTTCTATTCCAGTATGGCTTGATATGCTTCTTGTAACTAATACAAGGTAGGGCTTTATTAGCAATTATGATACTTTTAAGAATAGATTGATAATAATCTTCAGTGGTTAGGAGCCCTTCATCTGACTTGTGTTTAATGAGATTAAGTTCTCTATTAAGAAAACTTTGAAAAAGGTCGATGTTTAAATTTGTGCATTTTTTCCATGCAAAACGTGATCGTTTTGGCTCAGACATGTCCTCGTGTGAATTCAAAGTATCCTGCCTTCTTGGGAAGTAGATTGTAGCTTTAACAGGTAAATGGTGTGTCGTAGAATGTGGGTGAATTTCAACCACCTCCGAATGAAAGGGATTTTTTGAAGTTCATCGTCAAAACAGATGTAGTCAATGGTTGTGTGCGCAGTAGATGATTCGTAAGTATACTGTGGCCCAGTACACGTAGGTAATAAATTAATAGCAGTTAGTCCCATTTTCTCTAGGAACGTTGAGACCAACCTCCCTTGCTTATTTTCATTGCATGGGTTCCTGGCTCCTGTGATATGGGCGTTAAAGTCTCCAAGTATTATCAGGTCATTTTCCCCGCGTTCTTTCAAACACAATGATTCTAGGGCATCTAGTTTGTTTTGAAAATCAGTGGTGCTGTAATTAGTCGAGGGTAAATAAACACCGCATATAATGGACCACCGGGCAGGCCCTGTTTTGATTTTTATAGCAACCAATCTATCGCTCAGGAAGATTTTCTTTACCACTAGATTTTTCCTCCAGAGTAAACCCACACCCCCCTGTCCGTGTTTCCATCGACGCGTGTTATCGTTTAAACGTGAGCTAGAAGCACAGTAACAAAATTGATCATCAAGGGCATCTAAAAAACTAAGCTCGTCATTATAAAGCCAGTGTTCTGAAAGTGCTAATATATCAGTATTTTTAAGGAGATCTCTTGCGTAGAAGTAATTACCGTAAATGCCCGAACAGTTCCAGCATGCTATTCTTAGCTTAATCATCAGTGTTGTTTTTATTTAACCATTTTGGTTTTGAGAGCCATTCTCTCCTATACACATGTTTTGGCCAAAAATCATTGTCAGAAGCTCTTTCAAAATCTACTGTTTTAATGTTTACTCGAACGGCCACAGTTCCTTTTCTTTTGCTTCTGAATAACCGCATGAATGTTGGGGAAATTCCCTTTTTTCCATATAATTAGTAATTGATTGTTCATTAGCCCCCTCGCGTACACCACCTAGATATAAATGCTTGATTTTATGTTTTTGTACACCAACAAAATCCGTTTCCTCGCAGCTTACATTATCCCTTTTTACTATCAATTCCGCTTAAATTTGAATTTTGAAGTTCAACCACACTACTATCCTGAACAATCTGCTGACTTTGATGATTTAAACTTTTATTAGAGCTTGTTTTAGAAGCTAATGAGTTGAAATCACCCACCAAATTTTCCGCACTGAGTGAGCAGTTGTGTCTTCCTCAATTTTATTTTCAATGGTAGACTGAATTTCTATACCGCTTTGTTTCGCCATATCTGCATACGATTTAGGCGATTGCTCGGTTAAGTTTAATTGTATAGGGGTTAATTCCCCTGTGACTGCCGATTCAACTGATCTGTTGTTTGTATTTAATTTTCTTTTGAACTTGTCAAAATCTTTGGACAACTTAATTGATTTATCTTCGAGTTTGTCTAGACTAACTTGTTGACTTTGTAATTGCGCTTTCTGGCCTGCAAGGTTATCAGACACAAATGTTTTATTAGACTTATAGTTACCCTTAAAAGCTGCCAATTCAGATTCCAGAGAAAAAACTTTCGCATCCCTTTCACATAGCCTTTCCTTTAGCTCAACACTTTCCTGCTTCAACGACTTGATTTCTGCATCTTTGTTGCCCATATCCTTCTTTATTTCAGCAATTTCAGCCTTCAGATTTAAGACCGATTCATCAAAAACCTCTTTCAAATTGTAGAATTTTACATCCATTTCCTCTAAGAGAGTATTTACTGACTGCGTAGTACGCTCATCTAGGCTGCAAACTGTAGTCGAACTCTGATTATTAGCCGTCATATTCAGAAGCGATTGTTCGCCATGAATCCCATGATTCGGCTGCTTTGGAAATATATCGTTCAGTTCGCTCGTTATTACGCCAGAACTACAAGATTTTATTAGAACAATAATGTCCGCCGCTAGTTTATCTGTCGCCATTTCGCCCTCCTAGTCTGTTTAATCTTCTGGACGGGTTTGCTTTTCGGCATATTGGGAAGTTTTTGTTTACAATACTCAATAATGACTGCCCTCATATCGGTGAGATTTGATGAGCTATACTTCGAGAGTTTCAGTTTAACTTCGGTAGACGATGTAACTGCTATATACCTCTCCAATTTCTCGATGTGTTGCGATGTTAAATCTAGACAATTTCCATTACTTGCCACTTTCAAAAACTCATCATAGGCATAGCTTGTATCTTCAACCAAATTGTTGGAGCTCGAGTTATTACTTGCCCAATTGCAATTCCTTCCGGCACTTTCGCCAATATCCCGGTCTTGACACGATGTATTTAACTCAGATAAGCTAGTTTCCATCGTAGAATCACTTTCTTGGTTTAATTGCACCACGCGAGATAAAGATTCAGCCAAAATACGGCTGTTATTTCTCGTATTTGCGGAGCCTTGTAGGCCACAACTATCCGCCATTTTGTCTAAATCCAAGTCAAGTCACAAGTCATTCAGAGTGGCAAGTCAATTCAAGTCAAGTCACAAGTCATTTTATTGCCACATGTGGCCATGTTTTCCCACGCAAAACGGCAAAATATGTAAATATGGCATCGTTATTTTATGTCAGAAATTTTACCACGAAATCGCGAAAAAACCCCCCGCTTTGTTAGAAAATACACCGGCACAAATTCTGTCGATGCCATTGATATGTACTAAGGTCGTTGTCCAAATTGTACAACACGACGATCGATCGATCAACACAAAGATTTTGGAAAACTTGATTTTCACTAGATATTTACGTTTGACTTGCATTGGTAACAAGTCATTTCTTGCAAGTCCAAGTCAAGTCACAAGTCACAAAAATTGCGACTCGAGTCCGACTCGAGTCCAAGTCACACGACTCGAGTCTACAACTCTGTTCTCATCTGTACCAGATTCATCAGATTCATGTTCAGGTTAGCTGCACGCTGCTCACCATTTTGTTTTTATATTGTGGATGAGGTGGATGAATGGATCTAACTACTTGTTTCCTTAGTTTATCCAATCCTATCCCTTACAGTGATTGAGGCATTGGGGATTTGAGTGGATAAATGCATCTTACCCATGGGCCATGATGAAACTCATAAAGCTGGTAAATTCAAAATTTTAGACAAATTTTGAGTCATTTTGAAGGAAGACATACTAAGTAAACAAAATTTTTAAAAACCTGCAGGAAAAGTCCATTGATAAATAACAATCAGGTGCAAGTGATTGTAAATCGGGTAATCTGGAGGTTTGTTTAAAAATTGGGTGACACCTGATAAAACTGGGTGAGTTGGCAGGTCTGCTGACAGTATATTTGTATGGATAGAGAAAAGCACAAATATATTATTGAAATGAATGTTGTGGCCTAAGGGAATTAATGCCAGAAATGTAAAAAAAAATGTATTGGTCCTTGCAAATTTACGAGCTGTGAGGCCTTTTGAACAGGGAGATCCTTCGAATAATTTTTGGCATATATGATCCAACAACAAGGGCAGATTTCGTTTCAAGCCAATCAGTGCGTTTGTTGACATTTTTGCTCTTGGCCAATCAGAAAGCTTACATTTAAAAAGCTTACATTTACACAAAGGGCTTTCTTTCTTGCATTCAGGTAAATCACATTTGCTATGACGTAAATAAAGCTTAATTAAAGACAAAGTACTAAGTTACTTGTGACCTATTTAGACTGTCTATCTGTCCGAATTGTTTTTTAGATCTTTGTTTCAATGTTTGTTTCTAGGTCCCTTTTCTTTAATTTTGTATGGAATTAATGAAATTTTCTATAAATCCTGGGAACAATATAATTAGAATAATTTGAGTACATTTTCAAGCATTCTTTTATTTTGTGACAAGTACTATATTTGTGTGTTATTTCAGTTATTTTTCTCTTGAATGTGGAAAATGGTTAAATAAAAAGGATAAGTAATGTTAGTTTTGTATGTTTCAGTTTAACCATTAAACCACAATAAAATGCACTGCTGTCAGGCAATTTTACTCAACATCTAGGTGAAAGTCTTGTGGTTTAATGGGTTAATGAAACAATCTTCCAATATGTATTGTTATCCAATAAAATTTATTATTTTACTATGTCTAACACCAAATGATCCTACTCATCAAGTGGATCTAGTGTTACACTTTAATTTTGTTTGACAGCTAGCATTCACAAACAGAACACTGTGATCATGTTGCCCCCCCCCCCCATCATAATCCATATATTGATATTTTTCCATTTACCTGTTTGGATTTGGTGCTTGTTGAACAGAAGTAAAGCCAAGTAGCAAGACTCGATTGTTCACAATTTTTTCTCCAAATAGAATCGGTAGTTTCCATTTGGTCAGGTATTTGGGTTGCCATGTTAGGGTGGTCATTTAGGGATTCAAACTTGCTTGCGAGAAATTTTGCAGCCTTTGCCTTCAACTTATTAATTCTCTTTGAGCTATAGTTGGCACAAAGACAGACTCAAAAGAATGCAGTTCATGGCTTGCATGCGTCAATGTCTTTTGCTTTGAAAGTAATCTGGTCAGCTGAATCTGTTTCTTTTGTTCTTGCCCTTAGGACCGAGTGGAAATTTTCGACGGGATATTCATCGAATGCCACAATATACTCTTGCACAATTTCAAACATAGAGTGGGTATTTTCTTGCCAGTGTTGAAACAGGGACAGGGTTACAAGCAAGGCTTTATTGTAGTGACATCTGCGAAACACCACAAACATGATCCAACAATGCAACAAGGACTGGCAATAAAGATCATAACTGTTACACTTGGTACTCAATATACTTGGTACTCAATATCCTTGCACTTGCCAAAAACTGAGAGAATTGTGTACCTGACAAGTGTCCATCCTCCATAGATAACCTCTAGCAATAACGATATGCGCGAAGCTTTGGGTTTCTTTGCCAACTTCGCTTTTTTCCCAAACAGGAATGTGTATAAATCTGCAAATATTTCATGAAATATCAGCAAAACACATTCTCTTGCATTTAGGGAAATGTGCAATGGACCAATGAGGGGAACAATGTTCTGAAGAGCTGCTGGTAGAGATGGTGCATCAGAGTAGACCAATCTTCGAATGAAGAATTGCATTGGCCAATCACCAGCAAATGGAGCAATGAAGTGATCTAGGTATAGTTGTAGTCCACCATATAGCATTTTGTTAATTGCTGTTAGAACATTCTCAGATGATTTTAGTGGCAATTCAATACTGTCAACAAATTTGGTGTTATCCATACGTCTCATCTCTTTTACTTCAGTTTGTTGATAGTCGTGAACCAGCAATCTTTGACGCTTGGACTCTGGATTGAAATATTTGGCCACCACCCAGTCAGGCATACTTTCTGCATATGTCTTGGAAACATTGTGCATGTTGTTTGTTATGAAGAATTTCATGCTGGGAATTTCAACTGGGGATTTCCGTAGCAAGTTGATTCTCTCTTGGGACACTGCTTTAACGTTGGGGAACACTTTCAAAAGCAAAGTGGACATGTGTATTGCATTTGTTTGTGTCTTGGACTCGGGCCGATGAATAGTGTGGATATTGTGGTAGTCATCGATACAGAATATCATGAACAGATTGTTTTCTACTGCCGATTCAATAAAGTTAACAACATGATTTGAATGTGCTGATGAAGACAACTTTGCTTGGGCTTTTACGGTGTGAGGATGGGCAGCGATACCGACATTTCGGAGGGACTGAAGTCCTTGTTCAGTGATACCAAACTGTTGAAGGGTTCTCGACAAGGCTACTTGAAATGAGTTGGATCTTTGGGATTGTGAATACACCATGATATAAATAATAACCATTGTCCGAAGTTTACTAAGCTGTTTGCATTCAGTGGACATTCTGTTAGAACATATAGCATTATTTATACAATTATAGAGATTCTCAGCACCAGCATCCCTGCAAATGCTTTCAAAGGCAGTAGGATTCATTTCTGGTTGTGACAAATGATAAATATGACACCGGATTTTAATGAGATCATCACTGAAATTAGGACAAAATGATGCTTTCTGGAGTAAAGAAGCATACTCTTCTATTGAGAGGAAAACACTGTCCATTGTTTGGCACTCTTTCTCGGCAACATTTGGCAACTTAGTTGGTGAAAGGTCTTGGCTATCCATGGTAATTATTTGACTTAGTGAACTCAAGGTGATTGTTGTTGTATCACTTTTTTGACTGTTTGGTACTTTTTCTAGGGTTTGTAGATCTTTAGTTGGTGAACGGTGATTATTAAATAAAATCAAGAACAAAACCAGAATATACAGATATGGTAGTTGTTGCAGTTTTCTTGTTTTTATTTAATTCCAATTCAATTTAGCACACCCCCCTGGGGTCAATAATTTCATAACAAATAATTACATTGTCCAAAAGACTAATATTCTTCTGAGTTCTGAATCAAAAGAGAATTTTCCTCATCCTGATTTATGAGAATAAGGCATCCAGGGAAAGCCCATTATGGGTGTATTATATGGGAGATGATAACATTGATGCTAAAGTCTGGTCAAGGTTTTTTACCATTGAAATGTAGTACCAAAGTTAAACTTTATCCTAGGGTTCCTTTGAACAGCTGACCTGTCCAGGTTTAAAATAATTTATTGTCATTATTCCTGGCTTTTAATTTTCCTACCTGGCTCTGCTGTATACTTTTTTCACATCCTCAAGATCATCTTTGGCAAAGAATTTGGTTACTTTATGCATTCTCGTGCACGTTTTTAAGCAGGTTGCACAAAGATGGTTTATTTTATGGCGAACTTTTTGCCTAATTCTTGTTCCACGTATTGCTGTAAAGCATGTGCCACCTTCAACAAACCACGGGCCTTCAGATTGACAACTTTGCCCTTGTCACTCTTTGACCAATTTTCATGTAAAGGATTATTGCAATCCTTTTTAAATTTTGGCATTTTGTCGCTGTTGTAATTTGTGTCGCTCGTTTTTTTCGAAACTCGAAAGGTATAAAAATAAATTATTTTTCACGCCGTTTCTTTTTCCCGCGGTTGCAAGAGAAAACCACTGGGGAAAACCCATTTGAGTGTCCATCTAGAGTAAAATACATCGCCCAAAATAACTTTGAATTAAATCGTGTTTCTGTGCTGTTGCTTGTTTAAATTGGTACAAAAACAGTGTAAACAGTAGTATTTCCCAATGAAAACTGCGTTATTTCTCAAAGATTGATCGATTTGATAGATAAATATTATGCAGCTACAGAGCGCAATCACGGTGGTAATTCAAACATCGATATTTCACGTTGTGTGTCAAAATTTAAAAAGTCCGACAACAAAATTCAAGATATATGTATTTTCTATTAGAATTTTCAGTTTCAGATAAAAAAAGTTAATTCTGTAGCTCACAGAGCCTTAGATTACTAAAATATTTTCTCGCTCCTTTTGTTTATGTTTTTAAATGTAAAGCTTTCTGATTGGCCGAGAGCGAAAATGTCAACAAACGCGCTAATTGGCTTGAAACGAAATCTGCCCTTGTTTGATCCAACAGATCTATTGATGCAATGATGATCTAACAATACAAAATTCGAACAGTTGATTGCCAAACACAAGGGCAACATTCTAATGTATTACCCAGTGTCAGGCGATACTGAATCTAGTGAAGATGCAGATTGACAATGTTTTATTGCTATGACACTAACTGTAAGTACAGTGTGCAAATGAGTACTATCAGCCTTAAACAAGGAGTGTATCACCATATGCAGCCCATCAAGTCTACTTTGTTTTATCATAAAAACAATTGTAAACATTTTCACCACTGCTGCCTATGGTACAATTTAAAAACAATTCCCAAAGGGTAGAACAATTTTAACAAGAGAATGAATGTCTGGGAATCCATTAGAGCCCATAGAATTTTATATTCCCAAGAATCTCAGTTGGTGTCTTGGAGATACATCCCTCAATTTCAACAAAGAATAGTCAGAATAAACACAAGTTTGTACTCACTCAGATTTGAAAGGTTTCATTTTGGTGAGTGAATCAGTTTATGCATGTTTTTCTAGTCTTGATGCAAGTGGATCAGTGAAATTGAAACCTATTCATTTATGTTTTGTTTCTGATGTCGTCATTGGCATGCAGTCTTGTACAGTAAGCAGAGTTGGCATATGTACATTGTTCCAGTTGTACACAAAAGATATGGTAAGGCCAAGTAAAAAAACAACTTATGTTTCTCGTCCCTGCCTGCTTTCTTTTCCTTGGCCGCTTCCTTTTTTTTTGCTGGTTTTCCACTACAAATTTCGCTTCATGTTTTTGAACTTTCTTTTTGATAACTTGAAGCTAACTTGAAGTATTAATGTGGAACTACTGTGGGCTCATTCAAAAATCCTATCCACTGACCAAATTCAACAGCGACGAACCACCACAAACTCACAGCATGCGCTTGTCATGCTTTGCCGTGCTTGGCTACAGATTCATTTAAACAAAATTTATTATACGAGACATTAAAAAAGTTACTTTAAAAGCCTTTTATAATTCACGTTTTTAATATTGCATGTATTTTCCTTACTACACTGTATTAAAGCTTATCAGTTTGGCTAAGAAAAAAATGTCCCGCTTCCCTGTTTTTTGGCAGAAATCCGGACGAAAATTTTTTTTTTTACTTGGCCTAATGAATATAACTGCAGACTGTTTGTCTTCATTTTATAAAAGCAGTCATCAATTGGCAAGCTAGGTTTTCACCATTATCCCTGCTGCACACATATGTATGAATTTTTCACAAATTTCATGCAAACCATTTCCTGTAGCAACAGCATCCTTGAAATCTGTCAGCAACATGAATGACCAAACACCTCCATTTCATCTGAAATTTTCTTGTTTCCATCAGACAAAACATACTTGTCAAGGAACTTATTCAAGGTACTTACTAATTATGTATCTCTTCTTATCAGTCTCCGCTAAGAGGTGGGTATCATTTGGAGTTTTCGCTATAGGTTTATATTTTGCATCAAACCATTTTATTTGAACATTTGGAAAAAACAAAACATTTACCAACACTAGCAAATAGCTGCTCACAATCCTCATTGTGCTTAACATTGACTGTAACGTCCTATGGTTCAGCTTCTCTCTGAAGAATCGCAGCGTGCCTTTGTCTCTTCCCGAATTATTATATAGTTTTTTGAATACTGTCTATAAAAATAAACATTTATATCTTTAGAAATATCAAATGTATTACCACTGTTCAGTGGCAGACACAATTGTCCATCCCTCAATAATTAAAAAACCTATGAATGACAGCTGCAACAATGTTTTTAACCATGAAAGTAGTACTACTGACTATAAATTAAGCTATATCAATATGTTGCATGAATTTAAGCAAAAAACATTTAATTTTAAAGAACAGGATCTACTGATGATTTTTTTACATGTCATGTTGGTAACCTAATCCCCCCCCTCCCAAGAAAAAGTTTTTGCAAGTGTCTGCCACTACAGCAGTGCATTTGGCTAAGTTACATCACACATACTTTTTATTACCGGACAGTATCTTTGTATGGATAGACAAAAGCAAAATATATTATTGAAATGAATGTTGTGGCCTGCACCACCTTCCCAATTAACTATAGCTGCCTGTTTCGTTATGTGAAATAACAAGGGAATTAATGCCAGAAACGTAAAACAGAAATATGTATTGCTTTTCAAAACACCATCTTGGCTAAACAACCAATGTAAACATAAATACGCCTGTGATATGTAAAATGCAATGTACTTCAAGTAATATTATGATGTCCAATCGTAACACATCCTCCCTCCTTTGAAAAAACAGTAAAAAACAGTGTAGAAAACAAAGTATCTGAACTAAACTACCATTAATAAATGAATGTAAAGGTATTAATCAATTGTGGAAAAATTTCATCCTTTAGTGTAGTATATAGTCTTGAAACCTTGTAGGTCTCGTTATAGTTCTTCGTCTTCTGGTTATGTTCACTTCTGGTACTACTGGAACCTGATCAGATGCGAGCGTTGGAGATTCGGAAGGCGGTCCAGTTGTTGGACATTGTACCTTGTGTGGTTCCCCCTGTTTGGATGGTGAGTGGAGGGTGGCTTTCTCTTGCTTTTCGTCTTCATGTGCAACCCAAGGTTCATCCATAGGGTAATATTTGTGTTCGAGTCTTCGTAAATATTTTCTGTTTTGGATATAAGTAGAACCCTCTGCAGCCACTTTGTAGGAATGGATGCAAACTTTCTTTAGTACTTTCCTTTATCGTCTTCATGTAGAGGTTCCAGTTTTCTTTGTTCCTCTGTTGTAGTACTTTTGTTGCCGTTTCTGTTGCTTCTGAATGTCACTTTGAACATCCGCAGTTATGCTAGGTTTTAGCAGATTCATTGTTGAGGGCAAAGATGTGTTTATTGTCATGTTCATCAATCTTTGAACCGGACTTGATGCCATCCCCTCCTGTGGGGTGTTGCGGATATTGAGGAGTACCAAGTAGAAGTCGCTGTTGGTTATCTGAGCCATTCTTACGGCCTTCTTTGCTTGTTTGACGGCCGCCTCCACCTTACCATTTGATTGGTGGTGATATGGACTCGTAAAGATGTGACAAAATCCATATCTCTTAGTGAAGGACTGAAATTTGTGCGAGATGAACTGTGGGTCGTTATCTGACACAAGTTCATCCGGTATGCCATAAATTGCTATATGGCTGTTTAATTTGTTGATGATGACGGTGGAAATTGTGCTGTACACTCAATCTATGTTGAAACAATTAAAGTAATAGTCTACCGTGACTAGGTAAAATATGTATTCAGAAATTTTACACTCATTTTTTGTTTTTTTAGCCTCCAAGTAAGGATTTGTTTCAGGTACAGTATAGATTCATTTAAATACAGACAAGCCTCCAAGTAAGGATTTGTTTCAGAAACAGTATAGATTCATTAGGTGGTAGTCAGCCCTAAATTTAGATCGACAGTTTAAATTTTTTTCAACATTTTTTTTTGCTTTACTGACTTCATTATTTATTGTATTTTCGCCCCCTGAACTTTTTTTTCTGGTATTTGAAAGAGTTTCTTCAAAATATCCATTTTTATGGAAGGATGTCATAAAATTGTGCATAGCAACCATTTAGGATGACTTGTTTACTTTGGTTGCCATGGACTTTCTACCCCTGAGATGTATGATATTTTCGCGACAACCCCTTTGCCATTTCCCCCTTTATGCCTGCACTAAAATATCGCCTGATTGCAGGTTGAAACATCGATCAGGCCCTTGTGTTTACATCACACATGAATTTACATTTTTGAGTAGCTATACTTGGTATACAATATCTCGCAATCCAGCTGTTTACAAAGCGTTTTTAAGTTATTTTTTAACGAGGAAATGGTGAGAGAGGATAAAAGGAAGAAAGGATCAGTAAAGCATGGAAAAAGAAGGGGTTTTTCTGGCAAAAGACGGCAGGAGATAGCCGACGAATTTACAAATGACGCCAATCCTCGGGACGCCAATCCTCAGAGTTTACCCGGTGTTAGCGAGGTTTTACCAACGAATACAACTGCTGATCGCGAAAGTGTCTCGACTAAGAAGCTTCTAAACAGTTCTTTTGAGAAATTCGAAAGCAGCCGAGGAATTTTGACTCGTGAACAAGCAAGAAAAGTTGGTTTAGGATCGGCACGTGATGTTGAAATTGCAACCGGATTTAAAATACAAGATGCCACTCTCTTGAGCGATTGCATTTCGGCCGCAGCAGTATGTAGTTCCTGTCGTAAAGCAACATCAAAACTTAAACTTTATCAACGAAACAGCGATAGAGAAGGTTTGTCAGAATCATTATTCCTGCAATGTTCGTCTTGTGAGGTGGTGACTCCATTACCAACAAGCAATCGACTAGGTGGCAAAGGTGGTGGGTCTCATGAAGTCAACCGTCGAGCAGCTTTGGCTTCCCATCAATTTGGCCATGCTGGATTGACACAGTTCTGTGCTGGTATGAACTTACCTCCCCCAGTTGGTAAAGATTCATACAATAAGCATCTAATTAAAATTGAGAAGGCTGCCAAAACCAGTGCCGAAGAAGTAATGAAAGATGCTGCCAAAAGATTATTCGAAAAGGTTATGTCAGAATGTCCGGATGATATTGAGGAGGACGGCGAAGATTTGATTGCTCATGTTTCTGTGACAGTTGACGGTACCTGGCAGAAAAGAGGTCACTCATCAAAAATCGGAGTGATCTTTGTTATCCCAGTTGCAACTGGGGAAATCCTAGATTATGAAGTAAAATCACTCTTCTGCCATGAATGTAAAGCTCATAACAACCAAGATCATGAAGGCGAAGAGTTCCAAGAGTGGAAGAAGGCTCATGAACCAAAATGTGAAGTGAACCATGTAGGATCGTCTGAAGAGATGGAAGCTGTGTCTGCTGTTGACATATTTAGCCGAAGTATTGCAACAAGAAAATTAAAGTATACAACCTTTGTTGGTGACGGAGACAGCAGTAGTTTTGGCCGGGTAAAGGAGGCACTGGATAAAAAGTTTGGTGCTGCTTATGAAATTAAGAAAGAGGAATGTGTGGGGCATGTTCAGAAGAGGCTTGGAAGTGGTTTGAGAAGGTATAAGAATGACATGAAGGGAAAGAAACTTTTGGACGGTAAATCGGTTGGAGGAAAAGGACGGTTGACAGACAAGGTGATTGATAAAATGCAAAATTATTATGGCAAGGCAATTCGGGGAAACAAAGGAAATCTGGAAGGGATGAGGAGCAGCATTAAAGCCATTCAGCACCACATGATAAAGAATGATGAACTAACACTAGAACAACAACACCAATACTGTCCCAAATCATCTGATACATGGTGCAAATACTGGAAGGACAAAGCCGACGGAACTAAGTTGTACAATGAAGATAACCGGTTACCTGAGGTTTTTATGAAACAATTGGACCCACTTTTCACAAGGCTATCTAATGATGACCTCTTGAGGAGGTGTTTGAAAGGGATGACCCAGAACCAGAACGAGGCAGCTAATGGTGTGTTATGGTCCAAGTGTCCGAAAACCAAGTTCTGTGGTGCAAGGCGCGTACGTATTGCAGTATGTGAGACAGTTGCTGTGTTCAACACTGGTGCTGCAAGCAAAGCTGTGATAATGAACTTGTGTGGTGTCACCCCTGGAGTCCATACAATGAGAGCTCTTAGAAAGCAGGATGACACCAGACTGAAGACTGCAGCTAAAAAGGTAAGTATGAAGTACCGAGAGAAAAGACAGAAACTCAGGGCGCAGCGAAAGTCAAAAGGTGACAAGATGGCATACCAACCTGGTGGCTTTGGACTAAGTGCCAAGCCTGTTGACACTGGAAAGAAAAGAAAAAGAACACCAAAACAGACAAAAACCAATGACGTAAATGAACAACCACAAATAACCTTTGTTATGCCGACTATTGAAGTAATTGGTAAAAAACGACGGACATGACATTCGGTTTTGGTGTCTAGAATCTTTATTTGAGACATTTTTACTGAAGAAAAGACAATTGTATTGAACATATGTATCTTATTGCAACTCATTGAATATACAGGTAACATTTGTCTGTAATATGTGTGCTGTATGATGCACAAAGTTGGGGCAAAACATTAGTTCCTTTTTAACCTTGATTATCTCAAAACGAGCGAGTTTTGTATTATCAAATTTGTGGAAAGCCTAAATGAAAGGGAATTTAGTGTATTGCCCTGATTTTTGGACTGCATATGTATCTCATGACACTTTACAGGATCAGCAGACAGTTTTTCCAAATTTGCGGTTTTGGCCTTGTCACCATGGAAACAGTGCTTTTTTAGCGTTCGGACAAAACTATTTGTCAAAATGAAATTCTGTCAGCTTGTCCTGTACCCTAGGTCATAAGAAACAATCTCACCAAATTTGCAGTTGATAGCTATTTTTGTTCTAGAGATATTCTTTCCGCAAATTCTTGCTGTGCCGCAGTATTCTGCTGTTACCATGGCAACTATTTAGTGTTATTCACTTCAAGTAAAGTTAAAATTTGTATACTAATTAGATCTTGCTTTTTGCCAATTTTTGTGGTGAATGAATAAATCCTGTTGAAAGTAGAGCAAAAAGAGTGTTTTGGGAAATTTAGGAATTTAAATTAAATCCAGACAAGCTGGTTAAAGAAACTCAATTTCAACCTGCTTGTCGTTATGTAGAAATAAAAGGAATAACCTGTTAAATTAATTAAGAACACTTCACTTGCTCATGTTTAACCCATTCATGTGTCAGAATCTCCCATTGATGATCAGTGAAAACTCATTCAGTGTTAAGGCCATTTTCCACACAGAGCAGAGGTCTACATTAACCAGTAGTCTGCATTAACCATACCTTCAGAAAACTTCTCTTGGTATGCCAGTCTACAATACAGAATGGGTAGAGATGATCCAATCTACCCTTAGCAGAGTGACAACCAGCACAAAGATCTTTTGCTCCAGCAAAACGAACCCAAATGAGCTGGTCACCAAACATGGTATTTTCACACCACTTAAAAGATCTTTATCAGATGCAGTAGGAGGGACATGTGAAGCAGGTTGGGCCTGGAATGGCATCCTATGGTGAGTGCAGGAACATCACTGGAAGGCAACTCAGATGGACAAGCAGCAGAATGAATATCATATGTCCATTTCTCCAGCTGGTCCAGGACATCAACACATTCTGAATATGTTTTCTCACCTTTCATGAGAACTACCATGACGACCTTAGACTATGATGACATTTCTTTGACATGGCGACAATCAGTGGCTTGGGGCACATATGGTTTAAACATTGCAAACGCAGGGAAATGTTCAAACAAACGTTTTGCAATGAGTGTCTTATAACGGTTTCTGATTGACTCCATTTCTTCTTTGCTGAGTTTAACCAGTTGATTAACATCACATTTCTTCATTCTGCTAAAAACAATGCTCGTTGCCACTGCATGGACAATTTTGTTTTGGACATTGTGAGCCTTCTCTTCCCAGTCAATGTTGTGGAAAACATAAACAAACTTGTGATATGTTGTTTTGTGTTGTTTTCGTAAAATTTAGCAATTTTTAAAGGCCACGCCCACAGTAATTGGTGTATACTGTTGTGATGACCCTACCCATAAATAAATAAATAGTTACAAAATATTATATATTAAAGTGTTGCATCTATTTACATTAAAAATATTAAAAATTACAGCTAGCATATTCACATGACTTATTGAACTTATTGCATGTGGCAAAGATGAATTTTTAGTTTTATTAGTTTCAATAAGAGGAATATTAAAATTGTTTTCGTTTCTTAAAAAGTGTCCTGAATTATGTCTTTTAGGTAGTAAATGACAGACCTTACGATTTGTATTGAGCATTACAGATCGAAAAAAAATTGCCACAAAGATTTTCATGTTGGTTTTTCATAGGTTTGATGTTCAAAAGTTTATGAGCATCACAGTAGACCATAAACTCTGGCATAAACTCAACGAGAGTTTATAATAACTCGGCCACATTAATTGACAACATTTTTGTCAATAAAATTGAAAACCCAATTCTAAGTGGAAATATTGTTTCTGACATCAGTGATCATTTCTCGCAATTTTGTATAATCCAAACATACAATAAAACAAAACATTTATATCAACATCAAAGCAAAGTACGAGATTTTTCACATTTTTTACCATCAGATTTTAAGAATGATTTAACACAAATTAATTGGAATTCTATTATCGATAGTAAAAAAGAGAATATAGATAAATTATTTACAACGTTTTATAATAAATTAAATAAATTAACAAATAAACATGCACCCTTAAAACCAATATCCAAATGTAAGATTAAACAGTCTGCTAAACCATGGATAACGAAAGGCATTAAAAAATCCATTAAGATAAAAAACAAACTATACTGTTCTGGAAACCAAGAGAAATATAGATTATATTGAAACAAAATAACTAACTTAACTCGAATGAGCAAATTTTTAAGGTTTTATTTTGAGGAATATTTTAAAAATAATCTTAAAAATATGAGGAAAACTTGGGAAGGTATCAACAATCTAATAAATCGTAAGAAAAAAAGTCGAAAACTGGTTACAAAATTGAGGTGTCCAATCAAAAATGAAATAGCTACGAGTCCTACAGAAATTTCCAATATTGTTAACAAGCATTTCTCATATATAGGGGAAAAATTAGCTGCAAAATTGCCCAATTCAAGTAAACATTTTAGCTATTATTTTAACGCCAACAATTATCCAAATTCATTCTTTTTTAAACCCGTTATGTCTTCTGAAGTTGAATCCAAATTCAATTCAATGCCCTGTGGCAAAACAAACGGTCTTTACTCTTGTCCCATGTGTATACTAAAATGCATAAAAGAAAACATATCGTGGCCGCTGGCTGAAATAATGAATCTTTCAATTCAAAATGGAGTATTTCCATCAAAACTTAAACATTCTAAGGTAATTCCTGTTTATAAGGATGACGATGAGACTGATCCAGGAAACTACAGGCCAATTTCACTGCTTTCTAATTTCAGTAAAATATTTGAAAAATTGATGCATAAGCGCCTTAAACATTTTTTCGATAAAACCAGATTTTATATGATAAACAGTACGGTTTTAGAGACCAACATTCGACACAATATGCAATTACAAGACATTGTAAGCAACATTCAAAATAATATGGAGAAAAGACTGTTCTCATGTGGAAAATTTCTTGACTTCAAGAAAGCTTTTGATACTGTTGATCACTCCATACTCATAGGTAAATTAGAGCATTATGGTGTTCGTGGGATTATCAATAATTGGTTTAAATCGTATTTAACTGATCGAATACAAACAACTCAAAATTAAGAAATTTACTAAGAAGGGCCTTTACTTTTTCTGATATATATAAATGATATACATGTGTCATCCAAAGTATTCAAATTCTATTTGTTTGCTGATGACACAAATATATTATATGCATGCTGATAAAAATTTTAAATCTCTTGAGACAATTGTAAATAAAGAACTGGTGGAAGTTTGTGAATGGCTAAATTCAAATAAAGTGACACTGAATTTACGTAAAACAAATTATGTTATCTTTCGACCTCATCAAAAAAAGCAAAATTACCAAGTCAGCGTAAAATTGTTTGATAATAGTACGAATAATTCCATTGAAATCGAATGCAAAGAATTTGTCAAATATTTGGGAGTTTTAATAGATAATAATCTTACATGGAAATACCACATTGACAACATTAGCTCTAAAATAAGTAAAGCTATCGGCATAATTGCTAAACTGAGACACTTTGTACCTGTTTCAACTTTGCATAATATATATATCATTGTTTAATATTACCATATATAACTTATGGCTTAATTGTATGGGGGGCATGCATCAAAAAGGTATGTCAATAAGATACTTATTTTACAAAAACGGGCATTACGATTAATTTATTTCAAAAAATACAGAGAACATGCTATTCCACTTTTTATTGAATCAAAAATACTTCCTATAAATATGCTTTATATCAAAACTGTTTCCAATTTGATGCACGATGTTTCTAACGAGTCTTGCCCATCTTCAATTTCTAGTTGCTTCATTCACTCAAGACAAATTCACAACCATAACACTAGGCATTGCGTATCTAAGAATTATTATATTGAATATGCAAGACTTACAAAAACAAATTCATCATTCGCAAGACTTGGAGCAAAAGTATGGAATAATATTTCCACTGATGTGTGTGAATTGGGAAGAATGAATTTCAATAAAATAATAAAGAAAACCCTTTTAACAATACTTGAGCTTGAGGATGATTATGTTGATGTACCCACAATAGTTCAACAAATGGTCAGGCATTGAAAATAATTCTAAGTTTCCCATGATATAGTTGTTATAGTATAGTATTCAAGAAATTATTAAGTGGTTGTTATATATGGGAAATATTAGATATTTAGTATATAATTCTATGCCAAAAGTATACTTTTATTATTAAGATCAGTTATTATTCATGTAACACCTTACATTGTTACATTAATAATAAATAAAATGAGCATATAATTTTTATATTGTAACTACATGCCTCGATTAGCTTTGCTATTTTATGTGTAGTACTGTATTTTATTTGTTATCTTTAAATTTAATAAAATTATGAATTGTGATTGTAATTGTTCTTTTCTCCAAACGTATTAGTTTATTCTTTAGGTACTGCGGTAATAAATAGTAGAATGCAGGTATTGCCAATTACCGGGTGATCTCGTGTTCGTATTTTAGCCAATCAGCGCTCAGAAAGGGTTGTCTGAATAGAAATCCATTTTGATGTATTCAGTCAATTATGTATTTCGTTATTCTTTATGAAATTAGTTGAAATTTTGTAATTATGTTTGGTTATGAGAACTCTAGCTCTGACAAAAAT